GCTAGCTACAGCTAGCTACAGCTACATCTAGCTACAGCTAGCTGCAGCTAGCTACAGCTAGCTACAGCTACATCTAGCTACAGCCAGCTGCAGCTAGCTACAGCTAGCTACAGCTACATCTAGCTACAGCTAGCTGCAGCTGGCTACAGCTAGCTACAGCTACAGCTAGCTACAGCTAGCTGTAGCTAGATGTAGCTAGTTATAGCTGGCTGCAACTAGCTACAGCTAGTCAGCTAGTCGCAGGTTGCTTCAGCTTGCTGCAACTAACTAGTTATGAGACTGCCACTTAGGCAGCCTCTACACCTTAAAAAGTGTTTTCTGAGGGCCCCTCTGGGGGCCCCTCTGGTGGCCCTCTGGGGCCCCTCTGGAGGCCCCTCTGGGGGCCCCCCGGTCCCATCGATCCCGATCCCATCGATCCCGCAGAAAAGCCCCTCTTGCCTGCTGCTTGTGGGGTTTTTCATGAAGAGAATTTAATTGAAAAAGAAAATAAACAAAAAGTGACAAAAACTCCACAAAAATATAATGTTGTTTAAAAGAATAAAAACAGAATTCATTTAAAAGGATCTCTTAAGAAACAAATCAGAGAAATCAGCAGTTGGACTTACAGAACCACAGAGCCACTGGCTGGCCCAGGTGGACCACTGGTCACCTGCAGCAGCAGCAGCAGCAGCAGCGGCAGCAGCAGCAGCGGCAGGAGCGGCATCCCCGTCGCACGAACACCAGGAGCAGCAGCAACAGCAAAGCAGCAGCAGCAGCAACAACAACACAGCAGCAGCATCCGAAGCAGCGGCAGTTGCTGCTACTGCTACCGCAGCAGCAGCAACACAGCGTCCATCACGATCAGCAGCATCAGCAGCAAGAACAGCAGCAGCAGGAACAGCAGGGGCAGGAGCAGCAGCAGCAGAAAGTGCAGCAGCAGCAGCCTCAGCAGCAGCAGCCTCAGCAGCAGCAGCCTCAGCAGCAGCGGTCCTCCGTTTCTTTTTCACTTAAAGTTCCTACTGTGCTGTTGCTGCTCCTGGGGTTGAGAGGGTGGTCCGATGCTGCTGCTGCTGCTGCTGCAGCCTGCTGCTGCTGCTGCCTCTGCTGCCGTAGCAGGTGACCAGTGGTCCTCCTGAGCTAACCAGTGCCTCTGTGGGATTTCTCTGTTTAATTTCATTACAGAATCTTTTAAATTTGTTTTTATTTATTATTTCCCGTTGCCTTATTTGCATTTAAAATGACTTTGAAATAAAATGAGATTCAAGAGGAAAAAATTAAAATTTTAATTTGAACAAAAGCGCTTCCGCCGAATGGCCGTGCTGCAGCTGTTTGCCAGAAAGGCTTTTTGGCTCCTTATTCTCTGCTGCTCTTTTGAAAAAGGCCGTTAATTACCTTTTCTTTTAATTAATTAATTAACTTATTTATTTTTCTGAGAAGATCTACTCCAAAATACCCTTTAAAGCCTTCTTCAGCCTGCTGCGACTCTTCGGCGAGCCCGCCGCGTCGCAGGGTTTAGGGTTTAGGGTTTAAGGCCTAGGGTCTAGGGTTTGGGGCTATTTATTTGATTTAATTGAAGATAAAGAGAAAGATAAGGGAAATAAAGTTAAAAAAAAGCTGGAGAAGCTTTAAATGGATCTTTTGAAGCTGTATATCTGATTTGCAAAGGACGAAGAAGAGAGGCCTGCTCTGGTCACCTGCCCGGGTGTATCGACAGGCCGTCTTCTGGCAGTTCGGGGCTGCAAATGGGCAAAGACGCCTTCAAATATTTCAAAATAAAATAAAATAAAATTAGTTAAAAAAAGAAAAACAAATTTGGTTGGGTTTTAGCGGCAGAAGTCCCGAGGCGTCGAGCTGCCGAGACACCTGACGGCTGTTCGCCGCGTCGGCGGCGGCGGCGCCGCGGACAGATTTAGGCCGTTGGGGCCAAATGGAGTGTCTAGCTGTTGAAATAAAAGAAAAATAAAGAAAGATATAAGATTAAAAAGGTAATTAAATTTGAAATTTCCCGCAAACCCCAAACAGCCACTCAGACAGCGCTGCAGCACAGCTGCTGCCGCCCCGCCGGCCTCGCTGCCGCTTGACAGCCGCGAGGCTCTGCTGCGCTGCAGCAGCAGCAGATTGTTTGTTTCAGAAGAACAATAAATGCGGTTTTAGTTTTTTAGATTTGAAAAAGAAATAAAACCCAACTTCTTTCTTTTTTTCGCTTCTTTACCCTCCAGCTGCCACCATGGCTCGAGTCACCTTCGTCTGCTGCCTAGCTAGCGCTGCAGCAGGAGTTTGGCTTGCTGCTGCGCCTCCAGCAGCAGCAATTTCCCCTCCTTTGCCTCGCTTTGCGCTGGCCCCGGAGGCCGAAGAGCCCTCTGCTGCAGCAGCAGCAGCAGCAGCAGAAGAGGAGGACCTCGCGGCCTTCCTGGAGGCCTCCCCGCCCGGCGGGGAGGGGGGGGCCCCCGAGAGCCCCGAGGCCTCTCCCGAGGGCCCGCAGGAGGGGGGGGCCCCCGGGGGGGCCCCTGGAGGGGCCCCCGGGGCGCCTGGGGCTCCCGGAGGGTCTGTGAGGCTGCGAGTCACCACCGAAGGAGATGGGCCCCTGTCCGCCGAAGCAGCAGCACGGGGGGCCCGAGGGTACCAGGCCTACTTGGCGTCTGCTGCAGCAGCAGAGGGGGGCCCCCCTGCTGCAGGAGAGGGCCCTTCGACTTCGAGGGAGGCCCCGGGGGCCTCCCCGCCTGCGAAGCGGCGGCGGACGTCGCTGGGGGCCCCTGCAGCAGGGGAGGGCCCCCTGCGGCGGTGGGAGCAGCCTGCTGCTGGGACTGCAGCAGCAATCCGGCAGCAGCTGGAGGAGCGGGAGCAGCAGCGGCAGCGCGAGCAGCAGCTGCAGCACGTGCAGCGCACCCCCGGGCGCGCAGCAGCAGTGCAGGCGCGGCTAAACGCGTGGGTGGCGGAGGGCAACAAACTGCCAGAGTCCGAGAGAAGAAGAAGGATGTTAGAACAATATATGAACTTGGAAAAAGTCAAAAAGTTGAGGAAAAAACTCGACGAAGAAGCAGAAGCCAGGGCCAAATACATCGAAGGCGAGTTCAAAAAGAACCCCCACTGGGGGCCCCTCAAGGCCGAAAACCCTTTGCTGCCTTTTGCCCAGAGAGAGGCCGACGAGGCCTACAGGCGGTTCGGCAGGGGCGCTCCCTCTGCGGGGCCCCTCAGGGAGAAGATGCTGCAGGCCCGCAGGAAGTAAAGCAGCAGCAGCAGCAGCAGCAGCAGCGGCAGCGGCAGCGGCAGGGGAGGCGGACGAGGCAGGGAGGCTTTTGTTTGAATTGTTTAGGGAGAGGGCGGAGGGCTCGCGGGGTGTATGTACAGCGCGCGAACGCGCGGGCTCATGTTTGGGTGTTGGATTTCGTCTGCAGAAAACACGAAGCAAATTAAACTGGCAGAAGTTCCATTTTTCCACTTTAAAATGCCACTTTTGCTCTTTATATTGATTAAAACTAATGCCATGCTGCCTGGCATTCATATAAATGCATTTCCGCGCATTTATGTGCATGCATGGCTGGGCGCGGGTGTCTGTACACCCCAAGAGCCTTGCTGCTCCGCCGGCGCGAATTTATATTTATATTTCATTTATGTAAATATAAAAGCCTTCAAAAACACAAATGGACATTAATTTATCAAGAAAAAAGATTAAATGTAACTTCGAATTTGCATTTTCTGAAAACGAGAACAGGCGGCGAAGCTGAGGTGTACGTACACCCCAGAGGCGGCGCTCCTAGCCGCCGGCAGTTTCGGCGAATTCATTTTTCGGATTTGTTCTGGTTACTTTGGAACCAAAACTAATTAAATTAATTAAATTAATTAAACAATAAAACAAGCTAATTAACTAAGACAAACGAAAAATCCAAAAGCCTTTTTAAACAGTACGTACACTGAGAGAACTGGGTACTTAGACAAACAGTTTGTATTGTTAAAACAAGAAAATGTGAAAAAATAAAAATTAACACAAATACGAGACAAAACATAAAAAAAACAAACAAGGAAAAACTAAATTAAAAACAAGTTAGCAAAAGGAGACAAAACAAATATTCGAACAAACATAAAACAAGTAAACAGAGACTAATTAAATGAATTAAAAAGCAAAACAAATAAAGACAAAATAAAGTGTATACAAATGAGCCAACGGGGTTCCAGTGTCTGTACAGAGAAAGCTACAGCACCTATATGTGCTTACAGCTAGCTGCCTAGGTAGCCAGCTAGCCACTCAGCTAGCTAGCCACGGACCTCTCAGCTAGCTAGCTAGCTCAGGCGTTACAGAGCTGCCTAGCTAGCTGGCCCTCTAGCTTGGTAGCTAGCTAGGTCTCTAGGCAGCTAAATAACTCCCCAGCTAGCTAGCTAGCTAGCCAATTAGCTAGCTAGCTACCGTTCTAGCTGAGCAGTTAGCTAGATAGCTAGTTAGATGGCCAGCTAGCTGGACAGCTAGCCGGCTACCCAGGTGTCCGGCTATCTAGCTAGCTAGCTAGCTAAATAGACGGCTAGCTAGCTAAATGCCCAGCTAGCTAGCTTAATGCCCAGCTAGCTGTGCAGCTAGCTGGGGGCCACGGGCAGCAAGAGGCGGCAAAGATGCGCTTGGGTGTACGTACACCTGAGTCTGCATGCGTTTGTTGCGCAAAGTGGTTTTATTTATATCAAAAATCTAATATTTTATTTTGATTTAAAAATGTGATTTGAATTTATTTTCATGTTTGTGCACAGTAAAGGAGGCAGAAATAAAAGACCCCCGAAGTTGCTTCCTTCTCGCCGGCGTGCGAGGGTTTAGGGTTTAGGGTTTAGGGTTTCGAGATGCAGCTCAGGCAAGAAGCTGCAGCAGCCTGCGGCTGCTGCTGTTGCTGCATCTGCTGCTGTTGCTGCATTTGCTGCTGCTGCTGCTGCTGCGGTGTCTGTGCGCCCTTGTCGCAGCAACCCCACACGCTGCAGTTTGCAGGGAAACCCCTAAACCCTAAACCCTAAACCCTCAGAAGATGAGCTGGCCTTCTTCCGTG